CTTTGTGAATCCATGCTGACTATTCCTAATCACTTTCCTCTCATCCAAGTGCCTCAATATGGATTCCTTAAGGATCCCTTCCATGATTTTTCCAGGAACCGAGGTAAGACTGACCGGCCTATAGTTCCCTGGATCATCTTTCTTCCCTATTTTGAAGATGGGCACTACATTTGCCTTTTTCCAGTCATCCGGGATTTCTCCCGATCTCCACGACTTTTCAAAGATAATAGCCAAAGGCTCCACAATGACATTTGCCAACTCCTTCAGTACCCTCGGATGCACTAAGTCCGGACCCATGGATAACCCCCCCGCATTCTTGAGCTATACCTTTAAACTCCTCCCTGGTCATTTGTCCAAGTTTCCACTCTTTGTAAGCTTCTTTTTTTTGCTTAAGTTCACCAAGGATTTCCCCTGTAAGCCAGTCCGGTCTCCTACCATGTTTGCCTCTCTTGCTACGCGTCGGGATGGTTTCTTTCTGTGCCTTCAATAAGGCTTCTTTAAAATACTGTCAGCTGTCCTGGACTCCTTTCCCCTTCATGTTAACATCCCAGCGGATTCTGCCCATCAGATCTCGGAGGGAGTCAAAATCTGCTTTTTTGAAGTCCAAGGTGTGTATTTTAAATTAATTTGTGAAAATTTGTGTTTTCCTCATTATCTAACCATTCTAGATAAGATTTAGTTCGCTGGACTCATCAAGTTGAGCTCTAGTGCACAGGATCAAATATTACCTGATTAAACAAACACCTTGAATCTTTTAGAAAAGGGGTGAGGCCTTGGTGAACAACTTATAGCTTACAAGGAAAGAGCAAAGAAACGTAAGACCTGAAGCACATTCTGGCCCCTTCTTCAATGCTTCTGATGCTCTCCTTCTGCCATTCTGTTTTGCTCCAAACCTCCAATTTCTCCCTTCCTGATACAATCTCTTCATTCAGTTAGCACTCTCCAAGACCCACTTCCTCACTAAGCTCTATGATTACCTCATCCATCTCCATTGGGCCACTTAAGACCCACAGGAAGTGAGCACCTTAAAAGGTCTATAGAAGAGAGTACCGATGTTAGCAGGGACTCCTCAGGGTCAGATGGAACAGGATCATCAGCAGAAGATGGCAACATTTACCCCTCCCCTTGAACAGATGAATTAAGACCCATCCATTTAATTGTCTCCCCTTTCTAGTCTCAAGCAAGCATCTGGCAGAACTGTAATGACCACCAATCTTAAAAAAGGAGGGAGTACTTTATTTATAAATAGCTTGCCTGGTTAGCTTCACTTTTTTTGGGGGGGGGGGGGAGGAATCTATTTTTTGCTACCATCAAGCTTCCCCAGTGATTGGTTTACACTGTGAGGCGCCATTCTTCCAGAAAAAGGGCTAGTAACAAGTGTTCTCTGTAAGCTGTGCACTTGTGCAGCCACTCAGGAGAAATTGCAATGCTGCTCAGCGGAATGCCCACAGCTAGGTTAGTGTTTCTCCCGGAGCTACACATTCACACATGCCTCAGTGAACATAAGCAAATTTATTCCGCAAAATCCAAACATGGATGGAAAAGATTAGAGGGAACATTGCAAACAAATTTCACTTACAAATGGTGGGAAGGGTTTAAAAGAAGAGAAAGAAAAGAAAAAGTGTGCTTACATCTCCAGCAGTCATTTTAAGTGAGTCTAAGAAGCCAGTGAGCCATCTTGAGACAGCTGTTTGAATAGCTTTTGAAACAGGAGTTCAATCAATATTTGACCCTGTGCACTATAGCTCAACTCAAAGAGTCCAGCGAACCAAATTTCATCTACAATGTTTGGATAATGAGGAAAACATAAATGTTCACAAACTAATTTTCACTCGAATTTTCCTCTTGTTTTTCCTCTCGTCTCATTTTTTTTTTTTGGTGCAAAGTAGTAAAAAAGTTTAAAAGCTTTGTAAACTCTGCTGAATACCTTCATTGCTACAGCACCAATCTTGGAAACATATTGTGAAAGAAAAAACCCTATTCATCTTATTTTCTTGAATAACTCCATTATTCACTTTGAGCTATGATAGCTCATTGCTACACAAGTAAAGTTCAGAAGGATTTGATTAAGGGAGCTCAGAAACCTAAGCACTGCCATCCATGTTAGCATTCACAGTATCAAAAGCTTCAAACATACTGTCTGTAAAAGATACAAAAGAAGGCTAATTAAAAGCCTTTTCGTTTTCCACTTCAATTCTCCATGGGAAAACAGGTTCCTGCATTCTCCTGCTATTCCTCTCCAAACTCTTTTGGCCATAACAAAATCTGAAAAACCTAGCAGATTGCTTGTCTGATTGTGAACATTACCTTGCATGTATTCTGGATTAACGGCACTGCTCTGCAGGAGATACATTTGGATCCAGGCATTCTATTACTCTTCCCCAGATATGCAAGGGCAAATTTTATACACTTACAATATTGCCTCCTTACATCAAAGAATTGGCCAAAACCCAGTGCTTTTGAGTATTTTGATAATGGCTTCAATTCCAATTTCAACCTCAACCACACGCAAAAAAAGCAGCCATGAAATTACTTGAGACGCTGAGAAAAAGATGCCACCTTCAGAATATCACCAGAACTGTCTCTCTCATCAATGTTTTATTCCATGACAAGGGGTTACTGGCATGTCTCTGTAAATTAGAGAGTAGCAGACTTGTTTTGCCTCATTTCCAATCACTGAAAATTGCAAGCTAGAAAGTTCAACTTATAATGAAGTCTATTGGGTTCATGTTCTGCTTAGGTCAAACCTTGACATGTGGAGCAGAGAATGCACAAAACACACAAAAAGGAGTATGTGTGGGGAAAGTGGAATGGATAAGGCAGAGCAAAAGACAAAAACAAAAAGACTGCACAGAGAACTAAAGGAACCAATGGTGGGAGCGGGGGAAGAGAGGGGAGATACAGTCTAATTAAAAAAATAAATACAGTGGGCCAAATTTTGCCATCAAGGAATGTACCACCCCACTGACTGCATCAGAGACTGCCCAGAATTTTGGGTTCTACATGTGTGGCTCACTGATAGGGTAACAACTTTTGCTAGCTTTGCGAGGAGTACACAATACATAATACACTCTTCCCTTTAGATCAGAGGTTCCCAAACTTTTTGATATGGGGACCAGAAAATCCATTCACGAGCTTTCGGAGGACCGGTAACATTCATTAAGAAAATGATGAATATGCAAATACGTCAGTTTTGGTCCTCCCAAAGCCCCCATGGCCAGCTTTAGCAAAGCTTTTGACACGGCCACCCACAACATTCTTATCAGCAAGTTAAGGGAATATGGATTGGAAAAATGGACTGTAATCCAATAAAACCCTGCACCATCACATCATGTACAGGCAGTCCCCAGGTTACGTACAAGATAGGGACTGTAGGTTTGTTCTTAAGTTGAATCTGTATGTAAGCTGGAACTGGCGTCCAGATTCAGCCACTGCTGAAACTGACCAGCGGCTGACTACAGGAAGCCGGAGGCAGAGTTGTTCTGCCCCAGGCTTCTTGGAATCAGCCCCTGGACAGGTTCAGCCGGCGGCTGACTCTG